TTCTCTCTCTTCTATTTCTTCGCTTTGAAGTTTGATACGTGCGAGAAATTTTATAATAATTAAAACTAGCAACAAGTATGTTTAGACTGTCATCCTAATGTAAGAGGAAAGAGCCAGTGCGGCTAAACTTTCAGAACGTAGTCTGGTCTCACGTTACGAGCTCAATAATATGAGCATCATCAGTGGTGTAAAAAAGAATAACGACTGGTATTTTAATACTAAAAGATATCTGTAATTGATTAGCCGTGTTTAATTGATATTTATATGTTAGGTCCCATAATAATAATGCTTTTTGCATCATTTGTTAATTGAGCAATAACTGCAAATTTTGTATTTGCTTGCATCCGCAAGAGAAAGCAATTAGATATACGTCCATTGTACAATATCGATGTTACCACAGCATGTCTTCTGGTTTTGGTAGCCAAATTATGCAAAAAGGAATTTTTAGTGATAAGCCTTTTTTTCCCAAGCTATTCAAATTTGTCAGGTGAGACGCGAAATAAGAGAGATAGGAATATTTAAAAGTAGTACTATTAGAACAAGACCAAAAGGCATGCTATTCAAAACCTTGACGTGTTTGGTACTATTTAAACTAGACGGTAATAAGCATATTTTGCTAAACGATTTATACGATAACAATTAAGACAAAAAAAATCGAGATTTTTTGTTTCACGTTTGCAATGCATCAAACTTAATGGGTCAATAATAAAACCAATTCATATTTAAAAGACATTTTGACCCAGAATTAAAGCAAATTTATTATAAAAAATACCTCTCTAAACTCATTAATGTTGATAAATAATTGATAACAGAGTTATAATTAGTATCGGATGCGCTAACTGTGTATTTTTTTCTGATGCGCAGCTACGTAATTTGTATCAGTTATTTGTACGAGTCACATTGAATAATAGCACCGCAAAGGGTTTGTTCTAGAGCAGTACTGTTTATATTAAATTGGCATATGATACATGTATGTGCATGCTAATTGTTATTCTCTGATTTGTGTTAAGATTCTGTATATATTAACATTAGTAATAAAATTTATCTAATCTTTCCGATTAATTAAATTGGTTATTGTTGTCTCACTAAAATCAAAAAAAAATCGGGTGACGGAAAAAAAAACACTTCAGGAACACTTTTTCCGAAAATATGGTAAGCTGGGTCATATCTGCTCTTGGCCCCCATCACAATAGATTGATAAGATTTCGAAATTTAGAACCTTTCAGTTGTTTTGTTTGCATTAAATTGGAAATTACACAAGTATACGCCAATACCGAAAATAACTTGTATATAAACCCCCGATTAAACAGCAGCCTTTCTGCGAACTTTTCAAGTTCCCATTACGATCTCTGACAAAGCCTCAAAGTAAGATTATATTTTAAAAAAAAATAAGTTTTTATGAATAGCTGTTCGTTGAATTTATTTTAACTTTTCATCTCCATTTAATAGAAAAACGCTACAAATTAAATATAAAAACGCCGCTTGGTGAAGTAAATGCTCGGCCATCAACAAGAAATGCTACCAGCGGAACAGTTTTATCGTACGCAGTTTCGGCGTACGTAGTTTCAGCGTACGTAGTTTTCGTTACTTGGTCAAGCCAATCTTTCCCCAATTCTTAACTTATCCGTTATTACTTATAGGCATTGAGACTATTATGCAATATGAGCCGAAGTGAAAAAATTAAGCTCTACGGTTACGTTGAACACAAATAAGTGAAGAAACCATGTGTACTACTAAGCTTGATAGCAACAAATACTTATACCGAAGTTATGTATAATGCAAATCTATATCTGTATACATAAACTTTATGTAATTGAGACATGAATTTCACAAAATATTACGTTATCTTTATCTGCTGCCGAAAATTTCTACGCCTCTCAAACATGTCACGATTGTCAATTGTTATATTGCTGCACACTGTTATTATTTTGTTCGCTCACGCCACGCAGAATATAAATATTTGTCTGATGTTCTAGACTTTTCGCATGGCCCATGGAGTCATATGAACGTAGAAAACCGGTTGATAGTAAAAGTAACCATATAGCAACATAAGCATTTTATTGGTGCTGTATCTATTATCTAATCTACTTGCATCATTTGAGATACAAAACATTTATTTGAACACGCCCCATCTCATAGTCCAAAACCAGTTACACTGCAGGTATGGCAAAACATGCAACGTCATTGTTTTGTTTCAGAGCGAGATTTATTAATAGCCTAAAGTTTTTACAATTAATTACCCTTGTTTGACACATAAATCATTGCAAAATGCCGTGTTTAAGTTTTGTGTGATTTTAATGTCACGATTTGTAATTAGCTACTAATCAGTAAAGTGTGTATGTTATGTATTAGTGGATAACCTTATTAACTAAACTGACATGTTTACGTATTACCATTCAATAACAAACAGATGGTTGATAGGCAGGTGTGACTAACTTTCTTCTTCCTTTCCTTCTTTCTTCTTCTTTGCCAACACCTATTATATAATTGATAACACCTTAATACATTATATATTTTCCATTTATTTCGTCATACAATAAAAATATGTTATCGGTCATGGGCATGTAGCATATATAAAAAATCGAGTGGCTGTGCTAAAAATAAAAGACACAATATATTTGCAAATCTTGATTCTTCCATGGTATAATTACCAGTGTGATCGGTTATCGCTATATTAAGAAGTTGTGTCTGTTTGTTTATTTACTATTTGATTACAAAATTGTTTATCATCAATTGTTTGTTCAAGTCCTAATATTAATTAATACATAAGTTGGAAACGGCGGCGTTGGTAGATCTTATCTAATATTAAATAAATAACATGTTCTTTCTTCCCGAACCAACATTCTACGCTAACTTTTTCTGGTAAGCTTGTGGAATTCTTCTGTATATGATCATTTTTGTTATATAGTCATGCATAGCGACGTAAAAATTGTGGTTAATAACAATGGCGAACACCGCCTATGGCCAATTGACAAATTTCAATTCGTAAAGAGACAGCAACAACAATATTATCAAACTTCATGTGATGCTATTACTATCGCTATTACAATCGGCGTGTGCAACCAGTAAAGAAACCTCTTCTATAAATGTAATATGTGATGAATAGTACATATCGTTCCGCGAAATATCCGCTTCGAACTTTAGTATTACATTTATTACTAAGGGTGGATAGAAGGGTTGGGGAATTAGTATCCCGCAAAAAGGGTTTCCAATTGACTAAATCAGACAACCGACGGTTACGGCAAAAACCAATAAACATGACGAAAATAACACACCACTTGACTGATTACTCATACGTCTCAATTAATTGACTGATGAATTGAAATATATACTGTACAATAATGATTGGGGTTTAGCAAGGTCAAAAGCTTGGCGTCATTATAACTTTTCGCATGCTTTTAGACTCAACGTTATGAAAATTCCTACAGTTTTATTTTTACGCCAAACAAAATATGGCGCTGATCTTCCCCCCTCACATATTTTAGCTTGTATAATTACCGATTTTTGGACTTCCTGTGGCAGTACACGCAGAAATTTAAGGAGACATAGACTCCTTGTAACTTCGTTTATCCCTACATTAAACAATGACAAATTAATTCGTCAATGTTCAGTATTGGAAATTAAGCCCAAATATTACGATAAATTATAGTGTTGTAACATTACCTATTTGTGTACATCTATTTTTAGGAACGCTCATCAATCGGCTGTTTCGAACTTTATTTTTGAAGTTCTAGGTCTCGATTATTATGATAAACAACGTCGTACCCTTGGTTTTGTACATCTAATTATCGATCGGACATTTCGAACTTGATTCAAATCAACTTCCCGATATAATGATTACAATATACATTTATTTTCAGGGACAATCATCAATTGGGGATGTTTCGAACTTTATCAAATTAACTTCCTGATTAGTTCTAACAATAAAATCTGTCCCACATTCGATAGCAAAGGCCGCCACAGCGCCACGGTGAAACAGCAGTCAAAAAACGCAGTGTTTTTTTTGGCGTTTTTTGTTGCTTTATTCGTTTAGAGAAAACTGCACTGAAACACTCTTGATGACATTGTTGTAAGTTTGAACCTTTTCTATATATAAACCGTTGTCTCTTATGCAAATTTTCTGACGAAAAAATTTTCAAAGAAGAGAAATTGGTATCAAATTTCGCTTTCAAAAAAAACAAACAAACGGTTTTAAACTAGCCGCACAGCTTCTCTGTCTAGAGAAAACTGCACTGAAACACTCTTAATGACATTGTTGCAAGTTTGAACCTTTTCTATATATAATCCGTTATCTCTTATGCAAATTTTCTGACAAAAAAAATTCAAAGAGAAATTAGTATCAAATCTCGCTTTCAAAAAAAACACAAACGGTTTTAAGCTTTGCCACACAGCTTCTCTGTTTATGGTGGAAAGTACGCCTACAGACGCTTCCGACAACAATTATTTGAAGGCAAAATTTATCGAGTTTTCGCCATCAATTAGTGCCTTACATTCAAATTACGAGTCCAAGAACAGATTATGTGACACATGCCAACATTTTTAGAACGGCTTACAGTATAATGCTCATAAGGAAGAAGAAGCCAGAGATTTGTTGAAAAAATACAAGGAACATTTAGTTAAAGCTAAATTAGAAGAAAACTATTACAACAGAAATACACGAGCGGCGCTCAAACGCGTGAGAAATTAAGTAAGAATCTTTTCGTTAGGTCTAGCCTTAATTGACATTTTACACTTATTTATGACAAATTTTTTTACACATAGGTAAATAAATTAAAAGAAAGCAAATCAAAAGTTGTCCCCTAATTTTTGAGATGCCAGTGGATAAATTGCTCAAACGCCTCGTCAATTTCAAAAAATTTAAAGAACATTTGACAATGATTTGTAAAAAACGTAATCTAGAAATCACAACGGTCGAAAAATGTATAGGTGGTCTCTATCACCATACATCTAAATCTCTTCATGGACGGATTCCATATCCAGTCAAACCTACAGAGCTTGACTGGAATAAGACTGAATTAATGGCACTTGTTGCTAGTTTTAATTATTATAAAATTTCTCGCACGTATCAAACTTCAAAGCGAAGAAATAGAAGAGAGAGAA